TTATGTGTGTAAATTCATTTAGAAATTCAATAGTTGATAATAAATTTAGTACACAAATTTATTAAATTTATTTTAGTTTTTACTTATGTTATATAAATACAGTATATGATTTTTTTTAAAGAAAATCAACTTAGTAAGTAGAATTACACGATACAAAAATTGACTTATTCGTTAATTTGTATAAGAATCTTTGAACGCAAATCAAATCGTGCAGTATTATAGGTTCTTTCATAAACGATAAAAAACGATAAGAAAGATAAAATAAGCTTAATTTTTTCATGTGATGCAGGAAGATAAGTTATTTAATCGAAGTTTCGAAGTTAAAAATTGGTGATACTTAATTGTCGCATTTAATAATTTATAAAGAGTCAAAGTTTTTTATTATGTGTGACATTTTAATTTTTAATATCTGTAGTCCCATAATTAAAGTTATTTTATCAATTAGTAATAAGTAAGGACTTCTTGTATTTGAACTGTTTCATCTTATTGCGGTTTGCATAATTTTTTTTATAATTAAATGATTGTGCGATTGCTAAAGCCGGCCAACTTCAGATTCAGGCTGACTTTAGCAATCGCGACCGTAATCACAATCATTTATCATAAAAAAAAAAAAAAAATTAATCATAGGGGTCACAAAATTATGCAAACTGCAATAAATACCTATACAATCCATTATTAACATTAAGGAGCGCATACGTTGTTTTATCTTGATAATAACAAAATAAACATTATTTTACCATTGTATTACAATGAAGAATTATTTTTCATGTGGTATCTTGCATAAGGGTTTATTGTGAAATCACGATTTGAGGTAGAAATAAATATACTGATATACAGTATTATGTAATCGGAAAAATTTTTATTTATTTATTTTTTTTTTTATCAAAATGAGAAAAGTAATTAACGAAGCCATTGATGCTGAAACGCGAGATATTTAAAATTCATGAAATGATTTGTTCATAATTATCGTAATCATCCGAAACAATTTAAATTTTACAGCCACTTTAACAGCCCGGGTTTTTTCAATAGGCTTAATAAGTACAGTACATAGATCTTGATAGGTTCATATAAAACCAAACATACCAATACCACACATCATTTTTGCGCAACCAAAATGTACAGGAATTGATCAACATCCGGGCATCACCAGGGTCTATACTATTAATAGTGATGTAACTAAGATCCTTTTTGTTGGGTTTTACCTATATGAGAAACGCATTGAAATTTTAGAACTCCAGTAGAATCTTCGGGTATATTATTAAAAGGCGTATTTTAAGTATTCTCGAGTCATCCAACCTATATGCATATATTTCTCCTACATTGCTTATATTGCTTATATTGCTTATTGTCTATTGCCTTATATTGTTTATTGCCTTACTGTTGTATGACTTTATACTGCTTATACATTGACTATTGCCTTATATTGCTTATATTATATTACCTCACGTGTGACATTTACAAACATTACGTAAATGTCTTCATTGGCCGAACAAAAAGCAAGATGATGTAGCTGTAACTTTCTTGCTGGCACCCTTGCTGAATAAAGTTTCACAAATCTTGAAGTATTTTAATATATATATATATATATATTATAATAATGATACATTATAATAATGTTGCATTTAAAATATATTATAATAATGAAGCATCATATAATAAAAATTTAATTTTGGTTATTTTTCAATTTTTTTTTTTTTTATTGATATATATATAGTGTAATAAAAATTACAAAATTAGATTGATTGATTGATTGATTGATTGATTGATTCAACCTATTAATTTCAAATTACTATATAAAGTTAATATGTAAAGAAATATAGAGTTCCTAGTGATTCTTATTTGTTTTTTTTTTTAATTTCTTCTCACGTTTAATTACACATAAAAAAAAGAATAGTCTATATCTATATTAGTAGGTTGGAATATTATCATAAAAATTAAGATGTAATGCAACGGTTACCTCCTTAAAGCCACATTCTTACATGAATAATACTTAAAGGTTATTGGTCTTGTAGAATGATAAAATGGAAGATCTAAAATTTGTACAAGCTAGTACAAAAAATATTTGTGTATTGCTTTTCTAGAAAAAAAAATTTTACAAATTCATAATTAATGTAAAGAGGAAATTTTTTTTTTTTTTTTTTTCCTAGATGAAACAATAACGAATTAGAATAATTTAAAATTTAACAAATTAATGAATGCATTATTCAAACAAATGCTCAATTAAACTATAAATAACAATTTGTGTTTAAGAACTTCTCGATGTTCTAATTATATAATAATGAATGAAATAACTAAATAGTATTATTATAATCATATTAACAGGGTTGAAAGGCCTAACTAATAATGTTAATGTGTAAATGCGTGTATTTACATTGGTTGAATAAATTTTATATACCTAATTTGTAGGTTTATTGAGGTCTATTTACGTATTGACGAAAATCTCGGATTAGAACAATACTGATAAGAGTGTTTCAATTATTGACTCGTAAAACACCGAAATATAGAAATCTAGAAATATTCGGATAAATTAATTCTTATTATAGAATTACATTTCTTGCAATGACGATTGGTGCTAAAGCAATAGGACATTAATATGTAATAAAATCGAAAAAAAAAACTAACCAATTTATCGGATAAATCTAATTATTAGAGTATTGTAATAAATAATTTGCATAGTACGTATAAACATTAATAAGATATAAGATAGCATTCATTTATAACATCATGCCGGTAAATAGACAAAAACATATTTATTGTATCCAATGCTCTTCAATTGTTATATGCATGCTTAGCTACAAACATTAGCGTTCAAGCATTATAAACTTTATCTGTTATCTATAAATAAAATTTTTATACGTAAGATTTATTTGCAAATATATAATTGTTTATAATAAAATAAATAATAATGACATTTATGGAAAGTAAGGTGCATATATAGTACTTAAATGAATGAAGATAAATAAAGTAGTAAATTCGGAAACGAACTGATAATAATTTAGATGTGCCGGCATCGAAAATCTGGTGCGCATGTTATCGGAAAACTAAAATTTGACGTGGAGTTGATCATCGAACGTAAGTGATTTAAAAAAAATTTAAAGGTTATTAAGGTTTATTAAATGACGGTTATTCTTTCTTAATTAAGGAAGTTTTATACGTACTGTATGAGTGTCGCTTAAAAGGGAATCTCTAAGATTTCCAAGTTTTTCATTATCGATATGACGATTAGTGTCTATCATTTTTTCCGAATGCGTGAAATATTGATATAGCAATTTGTACGACGAAAATATACTACATTATGAAAGACCTAATATTACTTTTATTATATTTTAGAATTTTAAAATCATTTGATTTGTGATTTTCAAGGGTAAAGAAGAAGAAAGTAAATGAACAACAAAGTAAAATGTCAAACAAAATATCAAGTAAAATGTCAAGTAAAATGTCAAGTAAAATAAGACATACCGGTACATTCAACTTCTTATTTCATCATAATTGAACGTATATAAAGTCTTTTTGTTTTATGTGATTATTAATTGAAAAAAAAAGTAGTTAAAACTTTTAAACATTATGCATACAAAATGTTTGATTCAATGAAATATTTTTAACTATGTTTTTCTGTTAAATATTTACCAATAAAACAATAAAGGAAATTGATTATAAATTTAACGCGTTAATTGATTTCCCGGATGTCTTAACCAACGAATTCTTAATGATATCAGATATCTTTCCAGTGGCGTAATAGAAAAAATTAATGTGGTCTCACGATTAGTAAGTCTTACGAATAAACAATTAATTATATAGTAAATTGTAATATATAGTATATATAATAATATTGTAATATATATATCATTAAACCATTATTAAATTATATTAAATATATTATTAATAAATATTAGAATATATATTATTAAATATTAGAATATTTAGATCAAAAAAAGATTCTCTTAATTTATTAAATGTAACATTTTAACGAGTTATTTGTTGTCACATATAAAATAAAACAAATCTATTAATATTTAAATAATTATTCAAAGTTTGTGTTCAAAATATGTTGATCTAGTTTAAAGCTGTAATAACAACAGATCAAAAGGGTCAAAACTTATTAATCATTCCGAATATACGTGTAAAACAAAGTTCTATGTAATAGATAGTACATAATGTTAAAACTTGCGTATCTGATATGGTATGGTATGGTATGGTATGTACGTATGACGTACGTGCGTGCGTATCGTTCATTCGTCCAATGAAAAAAATGTATATTATAAGATTTGTGTACAAATGTCGATACTCATTTGGAGATATCTTATTACCCGGAACTGTGTGTGTGTAAATTCGGCATGGGCATTTAATTTTTCAGGCACCAATCAATTTGGGTGTTACCTTTGTGTAGTTTCTATACATGGGTGATGCGGTAATATATTGGTTAAAACGTGTTATATACGTACGTATGTTAAATTTTAAGTTTAAAAGATTTATTGAACACAAGGCAGAAGGTCAAACAAACTAGACATGCGTCATGTCACGCTAATGGTAATCAAAAAAAAAACAAAATAAAAATAAAAATAAAAATAAAAATAAAAAAAAAATATATACATTCATAATTATATAAAGTATTATAAAAGTATTATAAAAATCTTCTCTTTTCACTTGTAATCTAAAACAAAAAAGAAAAAAAAAAAAAAACGGAGTTTCATGCTTGATGATTATTATAATTGAATAAATCTGCATTTAACATCCCTTCATGATCTTTATATAATAAGCTACCAAAATTCATTTTTCTCTCTTTTCTTCACCAAATATTTTTCTCTCCTTTTTTTATTTTTTTTTTTGGTTTGGTTTGTTAAATCAGTTTTTCGTCTGGTCATTCAAGACGAAAAATATTTCGACATCATTAACAAACATAATAAATAACTTCCACTCTTTACTATTTCTACATAATAAAAAATTCTCTCGAGATTTTTTTTTTTCTTATCCACTTAACATATTGCGAATATTATACCGAGATGGGCAATAGACCATCAAATAGTGTTGACGATGAATCTGGTGCTACACACCAAAGAAATTGTATTAGATTTCTGCCAAGCACTCAACCAACTCGATCTGATACTAAATATCGTATATTCGGAAAAAGTCTAAATGGTAATCTAAAATACCCTCTTCCAAGTAATATTGAGGAAGAAAAACATTGGTTACAGGATCCTCACTATTTAATTAGACATATGTGGCAAAGTAATTACAGTGCTCCTATTGAAGATAAACTCAGAGAAGGAAACGCTAAAATCCTTAATATTTGGTAAGTTTTTACATATACTTATTAGCTATATGCCTATATATAATATACTGTACATACATACATATATATGTATCTGAGTATCTGCCTAAGTAAAAAAAAAAAAAAAAATACAATAGCAGATAAAACACATAGCAGATACATAGATTGATATATATTTTTTTACCATACTCAGCTGTGATTATGGCACTTGGACTCTAGAAATGGCGTCAGATTATCCTAATTCCCATTTTACCGGGGTTGACGTTGCACCAATTTTCCCTTCCGGAGTAACCAGGCCGAATGTACGATTCTTACAGAGTAATGTATTAGATGGTCTACCTTTCGAATCTAATTCATTCGATTTCGTCCTAGTTAGACTTTTTGGAAATAATTTTACTGAAAAAGATTGGGAAGATAAAATTATTCATGAAATTGTGAGGTTAACTAAGCCTGGTGGTTGGGTTGAATTAACTCAACCTGACTCAAAATATTATAATTGTGGTCCAAATGGTGAAAGGTGGAACGATGCATGTACGTAGATTATTTATCTATATATTACTATTTATAATAAATTATTTATATACGTATTAATTAATGTTTATCTTTTTTTTCTTTATTTTAGTGTTAAACCATTTAAGGTTAAAGAATATAAATGGTTCTATTTGTGAAGATTTTGGGATATTATTAACATCAACTGGTCAAATATCTCGAATCCAACATGAAGTTGTTATAGGTCCAGTTGGTAGTTGGGGTAATAGAGTTGGTGAATTGGGTGCATCTTATGCTCGTCAACTTTCTGGAAAATTTAAACCATGGATAATCTCTTATCTAGACATAACTGAGGAAGAATATAATGAAATTATGATCAAGGCAGAACAAGAATTCAATATTCATAGGACTTATATGTCAACGCATAGATTTGTTGGTCAAAAAATTAATTCCTTTCAATAATCTTAAAGGTTATTTAAAGGGTTAACTTTAATTTATCTCTAACCTCGTTATTTTTATTACTTTAATTACTTATTTTAATGCTGTGCCGTTTTGAATAATACCAGAAGAATTTAATTCTTCTTTTTTTTTTTTTTTTATTCGTTATAACTTCACAGACTAAATTTAATTTATTTGCAAATTCCTTCCTTTTTTTTTTTTAAAAAAAAAAAGAATTTCTTTCTTTCTTTTATGGTACCTTCCTTAAGTTCTTAGAAAAATATTATTTCAGTTGCTTTTTTTATCTTCAACAAGATACTGAAGTAGTTTAGATTAATCTATGACTCTGATAAAAAATTTAAGAAAAAAACTATGGATAGTTTTAAGCTTTATGTACGCGTCCCTTTTATATGAAATAAAGATCTATTGCATATGACCCCTTAAATACTTTGGTTATCATTGGTAACGAAATCAAAAATTGTTATGTCATTTAAATGATTTCTTGATAGGAACATACATACACAGTTCTGTACAGTACGTAAACGTAAAGTTAATATATGCGCATATAATCATTTAATTAATGATTTAATATTTGTTCAAATACAATAGAGAATACATATATTCTTGTTCTATATATTACAAAATGTTTCTTACAACATCTTTACTTAATTACCATGCGTCTTTACCTTAAGTCACGATGAGTCATTAATACATTCGCTAAAAATAAATTTGCTACCAAATTGAAAATTCTTTGATTGGTACCCAGAATCGATATCAATAATCAGTAATTCACGATAACATGTCTGCAATATTCACATCTGCATATACTTTTTCATTTCATATTGTCTTGACCGAATTGATAATTTACCGTCGAAATCAATAAGTTACCTATGGAAACCACAATAAAATTTTTATATACAAGTCGTGTAAGTGATATAACAGTGTCATATATCGATCATAGATACGTAATAATGATGAATATCGATCAAAGTAAATTGTGATTAGCTAACACATGTAATGTGCGTATGGTACAGTATATACAGCAGTACAATTAGATTTAGGTATCAAAACTTATTTGCTTATGCTGAAAGGTTTCGGCTGTAAGTTACGAGTCCTAAAACCACCCTAGCGCACCCACAAAATTGTTCCCTCCCGTGATTTTGACCAATAAAATTTCAAGATCAGGTGTAACGTCGAATCGAAACAGGAATAGCTCGAAATTTTAATTAAGAAACCACCTTCTGCGGCCTAATTAAAAATGTTCCTCGTGAAATTTTCTCTATCGTCCTAACCCTGACCTTAACCTAACCCTAACCCAAACTACAACGGTTTATTCTCAGTAAAAATTACCTAAGTCAGATCAGGATGCCGGAATCCCAATACAGACTAAAATTAATATATATCACGTGAGGTAGAATATATTATACATTTTGAATTTCAACATAAGTTACGTTGATTTGGGATTTCAGAATTGTTTGTGTTGGTTTGAGATTTCTGCATTAGCATTACAATACTAGTGAAATCGTTTCTTACAGCTGTTTTCATAAATTCTGGGACATCTAAAAATTTTCTCGTTTCCCGAGATCTCTTCGGTTTCGTCCTAAAGGTCACCTAACTCTTCGGAATCACGTCATTGTCTTCGGAACTTCATTCCGGAGATAGCGATGTATTTTCCGAAGAGTTAGAAGAGATTTCGGGAAACGAGAAAATTTTTAGGTGTCCCAGAATTTATTAATATTATCAAAACATCGAGAAAAAGTATATATTGACAATTTTGTTAGCAGAATACTCTCATCAGCTAATATTCTCTTACATAATTATAGTATCAATAGCTATACTATTAGCACTATTCATTTACCTATTCGAATATTACGTATAATCATTTTAGAATATAGTTACCAACACCTTCTTAATATGGACACAATAAGAAGAATATAAATATTTGTATTTCGCGAAACTCCCTCTACGGATTTACCTTCGATACATTGTGTAGTGTTGTACATTTTGGTCTCTTGAGTCTAACGGACAATCCGCGGAATATAAATTATATTTGAAAAAATATGTATATATATGCAAAAAATAATTTTATACTATATCTGTATATAGCTTATAAAAATTTTGTATTTCAATTTAAAAGTTGTTACATGTTACCTAGATTTATTCATGTCGAATAGGAAACTTAATCAGAATTAAAAATTTAAAAAAGGTTATACACATTGTATAAGTTACTATATATTTTTAAACAATGGGACCCTTCGGGTCCTCTTATAGCCGGATCTCCCCGGTAAAAGTAAATCTGTTCATTTATTAATTAATGATTAAAAAGTCGTTAAACCTCGTACGTGTGATCACATAAAAACGTATAATAATTGTTGCCTTTTTGTTTTTTTTTCTGTTGTTAATTATGTTTAAAGGTGGAATTTGTCTATTCGTTCAGATAATAGTTAAGCAAATTTTATCCGACAAACTGACAAAATCGGATAATTAAAAATAAAATACTTAGCATGCAGATCTTATAATTAAGAATTGCATAGCGGAAAATCCGCATTATTAGCGTTAATATGGCTCGGCTTATCCATTCATACAATTCTATCTCAGGTCATGTATTCTAACAAATCAAAATAATTTTAATAAAGAAAGCATAATATTTAAATCCATTGTTACGATTGTTTTGAAAGCAATGCACAATGTATGCACGTTTTACTGTTATACAGTAGTACATTTGATACATGGGACTCAATAATTGGAAATAAAGAAAAGTGGATCATTATAACAATACTATAATTCGTTAACGATAATCTATTTTAGCATTAACGTATTTAATTCGTAGTTTGATAAGCAATGAAATAGAGATATGGAACGATAAATATACTTTACTATGACAAAATAATAATAAATAATAAATTTAAAAGCCAACCATTAAATAAATAAATCTAAAATAACTTATATATTAAAAAATTGGGTTTAGATACAGTAAATTTATTTAAATTTAAAGTAATCGCAAAATATGGTATATATTTAAATATTAAAGCACAGTAGGTTTAGATAAAGTTTGAATAGAATTCTAAAGTACAGTATATAGGTTTATTTAAATCAAAAGTGAGACTAAATAAACTTAGAATAGGTTTATTTAAACTTAAGTTAAATTTAGATAAATTTAAAATATGTAGGGTTTCGCATGGGCTGGATATTTCGAAGTCAAGATTTAGCGCAGCAAAAATACGTATATTTGGATCCAAATCCAGCTATGCGTATAATATTTAATTGGTAACAATCCCAGGGTAGGCTTCATAGGACGACTTTCTTCTGATTGGCTGATGCAATCGATTGCCCGGGTAACTTATTTATACACTTTAAAGTACTTTTTGAGAACGTAATGATTACTAACAAAAAAATCGGTGTGAAAGCCATTTTTAGCTTTAAGTACACATTAATATTCACTATTAAAATTAACTTTAAATAATTCAAGATTTGAAAAACTTTACTTATAAAACAATAATATATTACTAAACTATACACAATGACTTTATACAAAAGAGAGTTACTAATTATTATAAAAAAGTAATTAAACTAATAATATTTTATCAAATAGATAATATGATTTGCTTAACTTATTACAATATAATCATAATAATAAATAGTTGATTTTATTTTATACTCAAACTAATTTACAAGATTAAACTATTATCTTTTAATTTGTATTGTAAATAAATTTAAACTTTTTAATAAATTTTAATTTTAATTTTAGCTATATAGTCAAATCTCAATATGATTATTAGCTTGAAAAACAAAAATCTAGTAACTATAAAAAGTTGTAACTATATATAAATCAAATTTTATATGTTTTATAATAGCTTAAATTAAAAAATAGTATAATAATATTAAGGATTATTATTATTATTATTTTGGTTTTAAAGATAAGGCCTCACTTATAACTCTATTAATTACGAATTCGGATATGATCTGCAGTGACACTTATAGCTTCGTATTATGAAAGTTGGGGATAATTAACTTAGTAAAAATCATATAGAGTTTGAATCTCAACATCGTCTATTTTTATGGCCTCAAAAGTTCGTGAAATTACTCTGTTAGTAGTAGGTTCTGTATTACAAAACTTACACTATGGGCCATATTCTTATTTTTGGTGGCAAAAAAATAATGAAGAAAGTAATAATGAAATTACAAGCTACTTTCCGATTCGTATTGGCCAAACTACAAAGGTTGTTTTAAACAAAAGAGACTTCTACATTACTATTGTAATAGGAAACTCCAATAATGCTTTTGCTCTGGGGTTTATTTGTACTTCTGGTATTTTTTCAAGCAATATAAAATGTAGCTCTTCTGCTGCAATTTCAAATTTATATAGTAGAATATTTCAAAAAACACAAACCCGTTTTTCTGGTCCACTTGTAATAGGATGGAATAATAAAAATATAATTTCACAATTATCTCAAAATGTTATATTTTTTTCTTTTTCTTTTTTTGTTGGAAAGTATTTGATTTTTGTTTATAGAATTGGCTCTTCGTTATGTGAAAATTGGAATAATGGTGGATTAGGATATAAAGCTTTACTTTGTAATAGATATAATAATAAGTCGGCAATATTTGTATCCACAATTGATAGTAAAAATTGTATACTTGAAATATATCAAGATTATGAGGTTCAAAAACGATTTGTAGGCAGTTCTCCAAATGAAGTTTGGAAAGTTTCGGGGTTTATTACACAATATACAGGAATGCAACTTTTTGGGCTTGAAAATTCATTTACACAAAAAATTATTCAACAAAATTTGAAACCAGTTCTTCAGAAAGTTGGAACACTTTTTCTTTACTTGAACCCATATACAATTACAATCTTAAACGTCAAACTCTCGCAAATATAGAATAGTATCAATTCTTTGAATCTTGGGCTAAAAGTGAAAATTCAATAATTGAACTTACATCTAGTCTTGAAGAACTTTATCCAACTGGATATATATTTAATGATCGAGAATTAAGGGCATGGAAAGCAATGTTATGTGCTGCGGGTTGCTACAATATAACACCTTGGTTATTTGATGAATCTGAGGTAAGAATAATTGATAATTTGCTATAATAAATTATATTCTAATTTATTTTGATATTTTTATATAATTACAAGTATCAATTTTGAACACGATTAACTAATTACAAAAAAGATAAAGATTTATTATATATGCTATACAAATCAGGATTTCTTCAAACAAACCCTCGGTATATTCCAAACCGATCTTTAATTTTTTGGAATTGCTTCAAACAAGCATTATCAATAAATAAAAAAACTCCAAATGGCAAACAACGTATATTATCGATTATTGCTAATGATTTTACCTATTCTGAATTAGAATCAGAATTAGGAGCAAGTATTAGTTTTATATTATATAAAATAAAATAATTTTTTAGTTTTAAAATTCAAATATTTAATATTTCTGTATTTATAATAAAGGTTGGTACACATACTATTTTAGAAGCCCATAAACATGCACGATCTATTGGTTATGGTGCGCCACCACTATCTAAACCCATTATTCATCAAGTTAAATTATCAGAAGAATCATTAGCTCAATTTGAAATATTTTTTTCAAATAAAGAAAATGTGAATATGAGTAGTTATAAATCGGATAATGAAACTGGATTACCCATATTGTATCTTCAAGATACTAAAGCATCCTTATGGGAAAAATTTTCTGAATTGTTTCCAAATGGTATGCGAAGAACCACATTTATGACATGTCTTTGGGGAAAAAGATACCAATATAAAGAAGATTTAGAAGGCCTGTGCTCAATTTGTAATGAATGTGGATATAAAGTCTTTGCAGATATTGAGGATTTAATTGAGAATTATATTTCTGATATTCAAATATGAGTATCTATTAATTAATAAATAAATTGTTTTGTTATTTTATATTTTTAATTAAAATTTAATAGAAGCTTTGTAATAGAAACAATTAAAAGTACAAGCACAAGTTTTGAGGCGTTATTTGCGCAGAGATTTTGCAAAAGAATTAGATATTGATTTGTTAGATCATGCACTTCATAATAAATGTATTAGTTATTGTCTACCTCACGCATTTGGTAAATGTCATTTGGATCACCCAGATACTTGTAATAATTGTGAATCTTTTTTATTATTTTTTGAAATATTACAAAACAATTTTGAAAAAGAACAACAAGAAATGTTATCAGATTACCAAAATCGATTGATTGCTTTTATGGCACATCATGCTCGTAAATCTTATCTTAACTCATAGTTTAATGCTCAGTTTTCTCAACTTGATTTGGATGGAGTTTTAATAATTGTAGATTATAAAATGAAGGTTCTTCCTAAAAAAGCTTGTGAAACAAAAAATGAATGGTTTGAAAAAGAGGATAGACACTCCATTCAATTCTTGTATATACCAAAAATCTTGAAAATACTAACTTAGATATACAGGCTTTTGATCATTGGTCAGGAGATACTCGTCAGGATGCATGGTTTACTGCATCCTCATTGCATACAGTAATAGAAACCTTGGAGCGAAGACCAAAATGGATAACTATTGTTTCAGATAATGGTGGTCACTATCGCAATACAGAATTGATGATTATTATATCACATTAGAAAGAATGGTATAATATTAGTCCTCGTAAATGGTTATTTTTGGAAGCAGGTGAAGCAAAAACTGCGATAGATTCTCATCATGCTCAGGTATAAATTACTATCTAGTTTTTTTATTATTATTTATAATCTATATTTGTAATTTATATATATATATTTGTTTGAGATTTCATATGCAATAAAAAGATGGGTAAAAATAGGTCATGAAATCGAAGAAGGAGAAGATATTGAAGATGCTATCAAAGATCTTTCAGGTACTTACGTATCTCATCTTGAGCCAAATTGAGATAAAGGTAATTATTTGATTATATATATATATATATCAAAGTGAATAATAATATTATTTGAATAGAAAAAAAAAATTAGGAACGATTCATGGAATATCGAATTGGCATGAATTTACTTGGCCTGAAATAGAAGAAGAAACTGGATATATATATACTCGTGCATTACCAGAATTTGGTAAGTGGAATAAAATTGCTCCTGGACAAGTTGATAAAATTGCCAAAAAACACATCTTCGAAAAGCCATCTCCAAGCTATACAACACATACACAACCTTCAAAATCATGGAGCATACCAATAGTGTCAAAAAAAAGTTATTTGGTTTTTTTTTTAAAATTATAAACTAGTTATCTAAATCGGCAAATAATATATATTCTATCTATAGATAATAAAAATAATCAAAAAGTTCTTGAGATAAGTATAATACTATAATTTTACTATACAAGGTACCCAGATTCTTTACGGTTCACATAATAAAAATAAATTATATCTTCAAATATACTATATGGCGAAGAGTACTATATGGGGTTTTACATATTAAAACAGCCCTTTTTTACATATAAACAATTTTGAGTAAATCAGGTTTAAAAAAAATGTGATCAACAAAAATTCTGATCTAAAAATAGCATTTCACGGTTCTAGAATTTACGAATCACCATGTCGTAACGAAATTGATTGCGAAATTAATTTCGAAAAAATATTTGCGCAACTTTGCGAAAATTATCGATATTCACAAATTACACAAAATTAGGGTTTAAGTTTGATGTTTTCTCCTGATTATTTTTCGGCGTTTTTTTTATTATTTCAGGTCTTTCGGCAGTTTACTGTGACTGGTGATTAAATGGTTTTTCTTCAAGTCTTTCGCGTTTTTTGGTGGATTTTCTTGGGATCTTCGGTCTTTCGGTGTCTTGGTGAATTTTCTTGGGGTCTTCGGAATTTGTTGAGTATTTCATATACTTTTCTCCGGTCTTTAGGTTGTTTATTGATCTTTAATTATGTTCTATTTTTTAGGTCTTTCGGCGTTTTGGTGAGTTTTCTTGAGATCTTCTGTCTTCGGCGCTTTTGGTGAATCTTCTTGGTATCTTCGGTGTTTTCGGGGAATTTTCTTGGAGTCTTCGGTGAGTATTTCATTTAGTTTCTCCTATCTTTTGGCTGTTTACTGGTCTTTAATTATTATTTTTTTTAGGTCTTTCGGCGTTTTGGTGAATTTTCTTGGGATCTTCAGTCTTTCGGCATTTTTGGTGAATTTTCTTTGTATCTTCGGTCTTTCGGCATTTTGGTGAGTTTTTCATGTACTTTTTCCTGTCTTTTGGCTGTTTACTGGTTATGTTCTTTTTTTTTTTAGGTCTTTCAGAGTTATAGTGAATTTTCTTAGAGTCTTCGGCGTTTTGGTGAGTATTTTATGTACTTTTCTCCCGTCTTTCGGCTGTTTACTGGTCTTTAATTATGTTTTTTTTTTAGGTCTTTCGGCGTTTTGGTGAATTTTCTTGGGAT